AAAACGCGTGTGCAAATTTTCACTTTCGAATCGAAAGCTTCACCGCGAGATGAAACTAACCAGACGAAAGAAATCGACGATTTACAACAGATGGTTTAGAGATTATTCTCGCGTTTAGAACCTCTCTCTCTCTCTCTCTCTCTCTCTCTCTCCTCCAAGATTCTTTCTTTCGTATTCCTAATTTTTAAAACAAACAACTTCGAGTACACTTCAGGTGCGATTAGAAGAAAGGATGTACGAAAAATACTCTTATTATCAACGTTCAATCTTGCCACGGCGAGGAACACGAGGAACACGAGGAACGTATTTCTCGTGGAATAAGAAATTACGTTATCGGTACATCGTACGGCTTTCGAATATTTTTTCCGCCTGTTAATTACACGTGAAGGCGACGCATCGAACAGCGCGAGAATAATCGAAGGATTCTCCGTTATTTAGTTATCTCTAGTCCTTTAAAGATAACAGGATTTCCTGACCTATTTATCAGGGTACGCGAACTGGCCCTTCGCCTCGTTTCACCACAATGAAGTCTCACAGTTAAAGATCGGGAGATTCCTGACCCACTTCCACTTGCCGAATGCCAGTCGAGTGATAAGCATCCAGAGTGGGTTCACGAGAAGGGAATGCGTGTTCCACGCCTAACACTATTTCAAAAGCATACTTCCTTTCGGCGAAATTTCGTCCGAGTGTCGTCCCCTCCTTCTCTATTTGCTCTTCGCATCTTCCGGCCAATTTCACGTTTACCCACTCGCCTCTTTTCACCGGAAAATCTCCCTTTGACCCGGGGAGATGTTGCGAAAGGGACGAACAGCCTCGTTTCTTTTCCTTCTCAAATTTTAACCACGCTAATTGTTAATACCCGTGGAGAAAAATCGAGTAATTTCACGTGACGTACCGAGAAACCTCCTCTTCCATTCCCTTCGCTCTAGAGGAGATGCTCTCGCCCTGCTGCCCCTTTGATCGATCAAATATTTTTCAAAACAATAAACGTCTTTATTACGGGTCATGACTATAAATTTCCTTCAGCATGGCCTTTTATCCGTAGCCTGAAAATTCTTTGCCGTATTATGGTAGCCTGTCGAGTACGCTTTGCACGGGTTACAAGCCTGATAGAGGGCTGGAATTAAAAGGAACCAACGGTTCCTCTCTCCTCCCTCCTCGGTAATATTAGATCAAATTCTGATCTTAGAACAACGATGGACATAGGAAATATTCAATTGACAGATTTATTGCAAAATTCTCCTTTGTCGTAAACACTCTGCTCGCCGATCGAGATTCAATTGAAATAAAGCTGGCTTTATGTCGCTACCCGATATTTCCATTAGCGTGTTTGTTTAATCGTCGAAACGAAAAAGGACGGACTTGAAAATTTGCATTGTACTCGGCAATGATGAAGCAGATTTTCCCATTTAACGATCCGCGTAACAATGCATAAAGTTACGAGTACACGGAGAGAGAGGAGTAATTACATACGAATCCCTAGACTGTGAGGATATCTGTGGGATGCGTTGAAAGAAAATACAGAGTAGACGTTTTCGATAGAGAATCGGACGGATTTTCACTCGCCAGAGTTCACGGGGTCAATGAGAGTCCCGATGCACCTGCTTCTATGTGCTACAAAATTGAACTTGACTTCGAACAATGTCACCCTTCTTACCAATGGGGGAGGTTGCTTTTTCTTTCGATATCGTATCAAACCCAAGGGGTGGCCATAGCGCGGCTCTCGCAGGCGGGGAAAATTATTAATCATCGAACTGATTTTTCACTAAAGAATATTCCTTCCTGAAATGCGGCTTCCAAAGATGGTGTAGCTGGCCACCCCTGGTGTACGTGTACAGTGTAGAAGAAACGAGAAAAATTAGAGAATTTATCTGTTAAAGTGTACTCGTGCGAACTATCGATCTGTATATGTTTCTTGAGACCCTTATCGACTACTCTTATGTACAACAGTACCGGTTGACGTTATCGTTGCCAAGTTAATTTTTCTGCGCCGCATCCTGCCAAGGAACCGCAATATACGCTTCTGGAAAGTCACTCGAGAACCATCAACGACATTTTTTCTCTATCAATCGTTCGGCCAACGGTTCACCGGAAATTGTCGAACAGAAGAGGAATAAATATCGACGATATGATTTGTCATTTGCAGGGAAATTACGCAAAATTTCTTAAGAATGTGCACGCGGAGCAGACGGCAAAGTTGCAAGCGAAAAATCAGCACGAATGCGACCTTCTGGAGGATATTCGGTAAGTCGGGAAGATATCTATGTAAAATAGGATCAAGCGAAAGCTCCTTAAACCGTCCCAAGCTAAAAATCATCTCACCTCAGCGATTTTACTTCAAATCATCCACTTCGCTGTTTGTTAGCTGGCAAACTTTGTACGTTTTATCTTGTTCCGCTGATATCGCGAA